GAAAAGTATCTCGTACGTTTGTCCGAAGGCGAACACTGACAACAATGAAAACTTTGAAACTTTTCACAGGGGCGTTTACTTTAAGTCTTTAATTTCTTCAAGTGCTAAATTAACAAAAGTTTCCTGACAATTTCCTAAACAAAATTAAATTTAATGTAAATAATAAAAAAAAGAAATAAAAAAATAATTTAAAAAAATGTATTTTTTTAAATTCAAGATGTAATTGTTAGCTTATATTCAATCAATATCTGATTTGACTTGATTTTTAAAACTCCCATGAATCATATAGAGTGAAACACAAATTGTACACGAGCGTAAAGTTCTATTCATTGAAAAAGCGCAAATGCGGATGAAAGTGTCGTTCGTAAACTTACGCAAAGCAGCTAGCAAGAGGCTGAGATTTCCCAGCAATAGGGGCTTGGCGTAGCCCAGAGTGCCAGTGAGAGTGCCTACGGCGGGATTCAAAATTAATTGGACCAGAGCCTTCGAGCTCAGGAGTAATCCCACTCGACCGTTTTCGTCCTCCTCGCCGCTCGCGGTCGTATTCGCATCGAGCGTGCACAGATAATCGGGGATAATCGGCACTGAAACATTTTCGAATCAGCGGATTGTTTAGCTCGTGATTTTCTATTTCTTTCCTTCTTAGCTTAGTCTTAATTACCGACTACAGTCAATAGGACGTTATCCAGAAAGAGGCTGAGATAGACCACCACGACAGTGATCATGCGACTGTTCTTCAGATCGTCTAATCTCATTCTTCGATCATCGATCTCAATGTAGGATAAAAATATGTCGAATGCACTAAGAATCACTATGTCCGCGTGAAATTAATGATTTTTAGCAAAAATTTATGCGTAATGATCTTTTAATCATCATGATAATTCGTCATTAATAAGTTAAATGAATAAGATATTAAAATACGGAATGCAAGTGACATGTAAAAAATTAGAAATTTTAAATAGTCTATTAATTAAATTTTCAAAATTTTACAAAAGAAAAGTGAAATGAAAATTAGATAAATAAGGTGCCGTTACTCAGAAAATTATTATTTAGGACAATCGGCATTTCTCAATCTATTTATTTGAGATGAAGCTTTCTTCTAAATTCCGAAAAATTGCGCGAATGAATCCTTCTTTTTTTGTCGCCTTGATAAGCACGTAATTCAAGTAACTCTCTTCTTCTTTTTTTAATTTCTTTTTTCTTTTTTTTCTTTTTTCGTCACTTGAAAAGCCGTTCTAAACGTGACTGGAAAGCGAACGAGTCTCATGCGGGCTTTTATAGCTACTGGAGCTCGTCCTTGCGCAGAAGCTTTTTCATGGGGGGCAACGCGAAGGTTGGATCGGATGGCGCACCGTTTCACGAACCGATGCACTTTTCGATTTATCTCCATTATAGCGACTTATCGGTCGTCGCCAGCCGCTCTGATTTTCGCGGTTTTCATGGTGGTCTTATGATGTGGAAATAAACCTTGGCGCATGTGCTCATAAACTGTAGGAAAATGTCGGCGACAAGATCGACAGAAGGGCTGCGTG